ACTGTTTTTTCTTTATTGATTTTAGAGAGAGAGGAAGGGAGAGGGAGAGATAGAAACATCAATGAGAGAGAACATCGACTGGCCACCTCCTGCATGCCCCGCACTTGGGACTGGGTCCACAACTTGGGCATGTGCCCTGACCAGGAATCGAACCAGAGACCTCTTGGTACATGGGTCGATGCTCAACCACTGAGCCACACTGGCCAGGCAACACTTGGCTTTTTAAAAAATAAGATTTTCAGTCAAAAAAACATACAAATAACATTTTCTCAAAAATAATTAAAATGGCTTATCCATATCCTTACAGATTCTGAAAACACACTAGAAAAAGTGAATATTGAACAGCTGATTCTTTGGAAAGCTGGACTCCCCCTACCAAGTACTGGAAAACATGCTTATGGGGCCCCAGTGATCAGATCCTAATGGAAAACTCACAACGCACCAATAATACCGAGAACAAAGAGGACGAAGTAATAACCAGTTCTTCCACTGATGTAACTTATGAAGGGATATTAATGTGGCTTAGAAAAGGTTCAACTAGCCCTGGCCAGTGTGGCTCAGTTGGTTGGGTGTCATCCTATGCACCAAAAGGTTGTCAAATTTGATTCCTGGTTAGGACACAAGCCTGGGTTGTGGACTCCATCCCTGGTAGAGGGTGTGTAGGAGGCAGCCGATTAATGTTTCACTCACATTGATGTTTCTCTCTTTCTGTCCCTTTTCCATCCTCTCTCTCTCAAATCAATAAAAAAAAAAAAAAAATCTTAAAAAAAAGGTTCAACTACTAGGAAATCAAGTAGACATTGAGAACGACTAATATGATGATGACCTCAAAAACAGTATTTCACACATTATCATAGTGCTACCTCACTAACAGAAAATTTAGTTTCTAAAAACTCTTATATGTATTTTATTTTACTGGCTTAAGCAGCAGCTGCCTGTTTTGAGAAGTACATGATGTAATATAATCATGTATAATTAAGTTAATGGTTCAGAAACAAAACGATAGTAGTTTTGAAAAGGAGCAAGTTAGCCCTGGCCGGTTTGGCTCAGTGGTTAGAGCGTCGGCCTGTGGTCCTGAGAGACCTGGGTTCGGTTCCCGCTAAAGGCACGTACCTCGGTTGCAGTTTGTCCCCGGCCCTGGTCGGTTGTGTGGGTGGCAGCCACTCGATGTGTCCCTTTCACATCGATGTTTCTTTCTCTCTCTCTCTCTGTTCCTCTCTCTCCCCCCCACTCTACCTGAACAACAACAACAAAAGGAGCAAGTTAGGTTGTGACACCAGGCTAAAAGGGCTTAGGGTTGGAAAACAAGGACTGTGGGTAATATATGAGCTCAGATATAAATCTGCTTATGCTCAAGGAGAGAAAGGATCTAAACAATCTTTAGTAGTGGCACCTGAATGTGGAGTTGCCACAGTGGATCAGAGACAGGTTGGTGCATCATCCTCTGGCCCAGCTGCAATGGGAAACAACCCCTACTCAATATTAAATTGAGAACACAAATATCTCAAAGCACACTTACCAAAAATAGATTATTGACTCTCATATTACAAAGCACAGAAGGAGGAGACATATGATTATTTTTAAAAGTGAGCTAAAAAATTATGAGGTTTCTGCCCAGCCAGTGTGGCTTCAGTGGACTGAGCGTTGTCCCATGGACTGAGAGGTCCCGGTTCGATTGCCGGTCAGCGCACATGCCTGGGTTTCGGGCTTGATCCCCAGTAGGGAGTGTGCAGGAGGCAACCAATCGATATAGCTCACAAAAATCAATAAAAACATATTTTTAAAAATTGTGAGGTTTCTCCTTACTTCATCTTATTATTATTATTTTTTTTGGTACGTGCCTCTAGTGGGAACTGAACCCGGGACTCTCTGGTCCGCAGGCCGATTCTCCAACCACTGAGCCAAACGGGTCAGGGCTCCTTACTTCATCTTAAAAACTAACCCAAGGAACAAACATTTAAAAAATTCTAGGGCTATTAATATGTTTAAAAGGCACTTAAAACATTCCTTTCCAATCCAACTCAAAATACATCTCTGTCAAATATATTTTGAATAAATGTTTTTTTTTTAAAGCATACAATTTTCATGCAATTTTTCTTATAATAGTGATATTTACCAGGGTTGAAAGGTTTGAAGGATAGAGCCCCAACTTTCTGCAGAACAACCTGAAAGTGCTTTTACCACAAAAACAGGAAAGGCATTAATGATTGGCTCTTTCACTGACAACATCCTGTAGTCTTTTAAGTAAAACATCATCATTTTCTTGACAGAGGCGTTTGGCAGGTGATTCTGCATCACCATCAATGGCTATTGCTCGCTTCTTGGTTCTCTGTTCACCTTGCCTTATCATGTTGTTGATATCTTTCAAACTCTGTTAAAAAATAGAGGACATACATGAGTAAAAGGGGAAAAAGGGGAAATAGCAAAGAACTAAGCTAACTGCTTTTGCCTACCCTCTTATCTTGCTGGGACACAGAATATTTTTTTTGAATCAAGGCCAACTGAATAAGGGTAATTAGAATTAATGTTTTCAGTTTTTAAAAAATGAATTTACCTTATAGCAGTAGTTCTCAAAGTGTGGACACAGAACAAATGCGGCAAAAGCATCTAGAAACTTATTAGAAATGCAAAATCTCAAGTCTCACCTTATAACTACTAAATCGAACATTGGGGGTAGAGCCCAGCAATCTATGGTTTATCCAGCCCTCCAGGTGATTCTGATGCTCCTCAAAGTTTGAAATCCTCCTCCTAGAGCAATTCTTTTGAACCTGTAATATACCTACTAATAATCCAGGGATCCTGTTAAATTTACAGACTCACATTCAGTAGGGCTGGTGTGAGGTCTGAGTCTGCATTTCTAAAATGCTCCAAAATAATGCTGATGGTTACTAGTTATAGTGTGCTTTGTTTGCTAAGTATAGTATAAACTCAAAAGATGTTTGTGGAAATGAATGAGAAACTCATAAGTTAAGGAGCTGCCCTTGTATTTGGACTGAGTTACAATCTGTCCCAGTAAAATTTCTTCCAGTTGGCAGTGATTCTGGCTTCCGGGGACATACTGAACATATCTGTTTGATAGTCCTTGAAATGTCAGAAAACAGCAATCATGTCCCACTCACATCTTGCTATAGGATAAAGACAGATAAACACAGCTATCTGTGTAAATAGGAGGAGGCCTCTTTTCAGACTCTTTACTATCTTTGTTACCATAATCCACCAAATGAACTTTCACTTTTGAGGCCTTTCTTTAACTTACTGTTCCCCATATCTGATCACTAGCAGGTGTTGCCTTACTGGTCCCTTCTCAAGATCTTGCTAGAGCAGAAAGACACACCAGACTCTTGCGGTGAACTCCCCTAATACCATGTCAATAGTAATAAATTAAACTACCTCAACTGAATACACTGTTCTTGATCATAGGCAACTTGCCATAGTAACAGTTCATATTTATTTTCAGAGAGCAGATTAAAGATTACTAAATGGTAATGTAAACTCCAGTTTTTAACAAATGTAGATAAGTTATCTGGAGTAAAATTTGTGTGCACCTTACCTTGGAAGGGCTGCCGTTGAACTTATATAGCAGAGCAGTCCTTGGCGTAAGTCCTGACCCATTCTTGTGTGGGGATACATAAATAGAGTGCTGCTGGGAAATTCGGCGTGGTGAGCCTGGCTGTTGCTTAATATGTGGAAAAGGAGAGAGTGGTGGAGCTTCCATCTGAAATTAGCCAAAAATAAATTGTCTTAAGATAAGAGTTTTCTTTCATTTTGGAATTCTGAAATATTTTTAATTCTTACTGGCATCTCCTAGTTGGGAGTCAGTTATATTGTAAAGGCTTATTTATGGCTGAAAATAAGCAAAGAAATGGTCTGTTATCCTTTCTTTTTCAACAGTTACTAAAAGAGAAACTAAAATAGATTTTCCTGATCTTTCAGGAAATCCAGAAGAATTCTGGGTAAGACACCAGAAGCAGTAAGCCAGGAGTACAGGAACCTCACGTCCATTCTCAGAAAGTAAGGGCAAGAACTAATCAATGTTTTAACACTTACAATAAGAATCTCTCTCAACACACACATACCCACAACCAAAGCTGCAGCAGAGAGCATAAAAGAGAGGCAGAGAATTCTATGAGCCAGCAGGATGAGTCTAAGATAGAAATCTGTTAATGAAATGTTAAGACTTTTCTTTAATATTTGATATGTTTCCTTTCCAAGAATAAATAAAGCTGGCTCTCTGATTATTATTCATTTTCATCTTTAGTTGAAGCTAATAAAGCTAGTTCCAACTGGCTGATGATAGAGATATTCATAGCATAGCACAGCATATGATGGGAGTTAAAACTGATGGAGTAGGATGAACAATCATAGCCTCTCAGGACAGAGAGTCAGAGACCATATTCCTTGAAAGGAACAAGAACAGAAACGGAGAGAGAAACACAGATAAATATACATGGCTACTGGCTGGGTGTAGCTTTTACTATGTCTCTCTTTGTTTTTTGTTTTTGTTTATTCTATATTATTTAAGAAAAGTAAATAAATAAATGTGTGAAGTTGTGAGGAACACAAAAATAAATACACTTGATTGTTAAACAGGGAATTTCCTTTTTTATTTTTATTTTATTATTTTTAAATCCTCACCCAAGGACATTTTTGTATTTATCTTCAGATAGAGCAGGAGGGAGAGAAGGAGGAAAACAGAGAGAGAAAAACATCAATATGAGAGAGACACATTGACTGGTTGCTACCCATACGACCCCAACCTGGGTTGGGGACAAACTGCAACCAAGGTACGTGCCCTTAGCAGGAATGGAACCCGGACTCTCTGGTCTGTGGGCCGATGCTCTAACCACTGGGAAAAACTGGCTAGGGGAGGAATTTCATTAAAAAAAATATGTATATTATAAATACTTTTCCTATTTATCAAAGTTCATTAAAGAACACCCCAAATTATTAAATTATCTTCATTCTTCAGGAATTATTCATTCACAGAGCAGATCACAATTTCATATCTTAAATCCCAGGGTTCTCATGCACTTCTTGTGGGCCTCAGTTAGGTGTCCACAGTGCTCTTCTTTCTCAATGATGCATGCATGACATGCCTTCTTGGTCTCTGGGCAGGTGCAGCAGGACTTCAATGGCTTCTTCTCCTGCGTCTCAAAAGGGGCAGGGCTTGCTGCCGCCAGACCCGGCATTTTGCTGAAAGCAGCTACTAGTAGAGGCACCCGGAACTCTCCCACCCTTCGCAAGAGATCTCTGTTCCTCTTTCTTATAACTAAAGTCTGGGAATCAACTCAGTTTATATACTGGTAATACTACTTCCACAAACTTGCTGGTACTGCCAAAACTAGGATCTGCATAAATATTTCTCAGCACTGCCTCTATTTATAATTCAGGTCTATCTATTTCCTTTTCTCTTTATCTTGAGAAAAACACTTAATTACCAGAATTAAGTTTTTTTTTGTTTTCTATATTCCTATCTAGCCTTTGCCTATCTGTATACATAATTTCTAGCAACATAATCACAGTATGAATTAAATTCCCGTGATTTCCTCTGGTCTCTGCTGTATCATAGCCTAACCACTCTGTAATTAATTACTAGTATATTTTGTCCTATAATGCATCAGTGAGGCTTTAACTCTGAAATACTTATCTAGCAAAATAAACTTATAGTAATCAAACTATGACTATAATATTTATAAAGCAATAAAATACAAAACGTACCATATGGTCTTGATTTGACAAATCATATTTCAATGCAAATGACTTCACTCTTCCTACATATACTGTATTGTAAAATTTGATAAGATCGCCTCTTTCCTCTCTCACTGGTGCACTGGAAAAATCAGGTGTTTCTGTAACATCTTCCAAGTCTGTTAAAAGAATTCAGTGTTGTAACAGATGTACCACTTTAATATAAAATTGATTGTTTAAATTATAATATCAAATAAACACAAATCTTTATGTATAGCAATCAATGTTTTCAGAAAAGGTTCAGAAATCTACAAATATTATGAATAATTAAAATTAAATCTTGAGAAATACAAACATGTAAACTTAAGGTGATTCTCTTCTCCAGATACTCTTTTCTCTAGATACCTAAAAAAATGTTTTTTAATTATTTTTCTTTATTGATTTCAGAGAGAGAGGAAGGGAGAGGGAGATACAGACATCGATGAGAGAGAACATCGATTGGCTGCCTCCCACATGTCCCCTAACAGGGATCGGGCCCACAACCTGGGCATGTGCCCTAACTGGGAATTGATCTGGTGACCTCTTGGTGCATGGTTTGATGCTCAACCACTAAGCAACACCAGCAGCGCTTTTTTTTTTTTTTTTTTTTTTTTTTAATTTGTTGATTTGAGAGAGAGAAAAGAAGAGAAAGAGGAAGAGAGAGAGAAAGAGAGAGCGAAACTATGGTTTGTTGTTCCACTTATTTATGCATTCATTGGTTGATTCTTGTATGTGCCCTGACCGGGGATCAAACCTCTTACCTTGGTATATTGGGACAATGCTCTAACCAACTGAGCTATCTGGCCAGGGCCTCTCTACATACTGTTTGAGCTCATTGTCACTGGTGGCTCTTAGAGGAGCACCAGCAGCCTTGGGTTGGGGTTTAGCTAAACTAAGCTCTAGAGTATGGGTGGCAGTGGCAAACCCTGAGATTCAGATTACAAAAAGGCCTATGTATATTCATACTGCAGAGAGGTGGAAAGACTCTAAAAGGTAAGGCATATCCTCACAGATTAAGAAGCATGATGAATTGCTTGTGTTTATTTTTTTTTTGCAAACAAATGGCAGATGATAGGTGTTCAAAGAGCCTAACTTTCCCATGCACAATAGAAACCTCTGTTCCCTAGCATCCTCAGTTGTAAAATGACAGCTTGCTCCAAGGTATTTTCCTATTTATTGGTGTAACTCTGGGACAGCTTGTGACACAAGGCAAAACTTTATTCTACTCTTTTTTTAAAAATAGAATTGTTTTTTTCCCCCCTTTATTTATTTTTTTAGAGAAAGAGAAAGGGAGAAGGAGAGAGAGAAACATTGATGAGAGAGAACATCAATTGGCTGCTTCCTGCATGCCCCCCACTGGGGGTTTGGTCCACAACCTAGGCATGTGTCCTGACAGGGAATTGAACTGGAGACCTCTTGGTGCATGGGTTGATGCTCAACCACTCAACCACACTGGCCGGACTATTCTACTCTCTTTAAAAAATGTTTTTATTTTTTAGAGAGAGAGGAAGGGAGAGATAGAAACACCGCTATGAGAAAGAAACATCGATTGGCTGCCTCCCGCATGACCCCTACTGGGGATGGAACCCACAATCCAGGTATGTACCCTGACTGGGAATCAAACCGGGACTTCTCAGTCCATGGGACGACACTCAATCCACTGAGCCCCACTGGCTGGGCTTATTCTACTCTTTTTTGGGGGGCGAGAGTATTACAAACAACTGTCTATATATACATACAAAAGTCATCTGCTTATAGGAACTAAGAAAACCACTGGCATTTAAAAAGAATTCAGGCCTTGGCTGGTTTGGCTCAAAAGTTAGAGCATTGGCCCTCAGACCCGAAGAGTCTTGGGTTCAATTCCTAGTCAAGGGCACGTACCTGGGTTGCAGATTTCATCCCTGGTCCTGGTCAGGATCGTGCAGGAGGCAGCCAATCGACATGGACACATTGATCTCTCTCTCTCTCTCTCCCTTTCACTCTCCCACTCTAGCTGAAAAAAAATCAATGGAAAAATATCTTCGATTGAGAATTAACAGCAACCAAAAACAAACAAAAAAAGAATTGTGTCTCGAGTAAAGTTCTATGCAAAAAAATTAGTAAGTGTGATTCTAGAATCATGGCATTTTCTCTCTTTGCAGTCCTGAGGTTTGTCTTCTTCAGATACATTTCTCCAGCAGAGGCTGATGAAATGAGCAGCAGAGGCTCTATAAATGAGCTGTAAAATGCTATTGCTGTGTCAGTGTCCTGCGCTCCTATAGTTGATGAGCAGACAGTTTTGCAAAGTTGTCCCACTGCCTGCATCACCAAGGAAAAGATGATCACAATGCAGAACCAGCTACAGAACATGCAAGAAGGACTGTAGATCACATTAGCATCATTTCAGGTATCAAGAAAGGGAGCCCTTTTTCTACTACTTAAAAATTTCCTATGCCCAGCTGGTGTGGCTCAGTGGACTGAGTGTCATCCCATAAACTGAGAGGTCCCAGGTTGTGGGTTGGACCCCCAGTGGGGGGCATGCAGGAAGCAGCTGAAGGATGTTTCTCTCTCTCTCTCCCTTCCCCTCTCTCTAAAAAAAAGATTAAAAAAAGTTTTCTACAAATAATGTCACGGTTACTTTCTGTGGAGATGTGGTCAGCGGTTAGTGGATGAGAAGCTTCAGTGTCTGAGGGTAATCTTTAACTGAGTAAACACATGAATTCAATAAAATATTGGATTTAATCCCTCATTTCTTGAGCCCTGTGCCAACTCAGTACCAACAGATTATCTGTCAATATTTAGCGACTTTAGCCCTGGCCAGTTTGGCTCAGCAGTTAGAGCGTCGGCCTGCGGTCCAGAAAGACCCGGGTTCGGTTCCCGCTAAGGGCATGTATCTCGGTTGCAGTTTGTCCCTGGCCCTGGTTGGGTCGTATGGGTGGCAGCCACTCGAAGTGTCCCTTTCACATCTATGTTTCTCTCTCTCTCTCTTTTCCTTGCTCTCCCTCCCACTCTGTCTGAACAAAAAATGGAAAAATGTCCTCGGGTGAGGATTAAAGAAAAAAAAATTTAGAAATTCAAACACACAATTGACTCTTGATTTCTGCCAAGTCATACCTCAATCTGTGTTTGATTAAAGCCTTCAGACAGAAAGCAATTCTCTGGGCCCTAGCCAGGTAGCTCAATTGGTCAGAACATCATCCCAATACACTAAGGTTGTAGGTTCGATCCTGGGTCAGGGCACATACAAGAAGCAACCAATGCCCTTGTCAGTTTGGCTCAGCAGTTTAGAACGTTGGCCCGAGAACCAAAGGGTCTCGGGTTTGATTCCATGCCTAGGTTGTGGTTCAGTCCCTGACCCTGATCAGGGTTGCACGGGAGGCAACCAATCAAAGAGTCTCTCTTACATCGATGTCTCTCTCTCTCCCTCCCTCCCCTTCCTCCTCCTTCCCTCTCTGTCTGAAGATAAATGCAAAAATGTCCTCGGGTGAGGATAAAAAAAAAAAGAAGCAACAAATGAATTCATAATAAGTGAAACAACAAACCGATGTTTCTCATTCTCTCAAATCAATAAAAAATAAAATAAAATAAAAAATAAAGAAAGCAATTCTTTGCCCTGGCCGGTTTGGCTCAGCGGTTAGAGCATCGGCCTGTGGTCCAGAGAGACCTGGGTTCAGTTTCGGCTAAGGGCACATACCTCGGTTGCAGTTTGTCCCTGGCCCCTGTAGGGGTTGTGTGGGTGGCAACTAGTCGAGGTGTCTCTCTTGCATCGATGTTTCTCTCTCTCTCTCTTCCTCCCTCTCCCCTTCCTGCTCTATCTGAAATGCAAAAATGTCCTCGGGTGAGGATAAAAAAAAAAAAGAAAGCAATTCTCTGAATATCTGTTTCAGAAGGAAATGCTTTATGGCTCTTCTATGAAAGAAGTAAAACTCTGAGAATTATAGCTACGGTTAAAGTACTACTGTTACTAACTAAATAACCTCTAATAAAGCAAAGGTTTTTCCAGGAGGCTCTGAACATATCAGAATGTGTGGAATTACTGATGTAAACCAGATACTGGACGAGTGGTCTTAGTTTTTCCTTTTTCACAATTTTCAGTCTGTGACATTTTGCTCTCACTATTCTTCATGCCTTGTCTCTGACTTCTCCAATTTCCTAGGGCTCCAACTCCTGCCTCATTTCTTCTAGTCAAGAACTCCTCCCCAGTACCTCTATACGCCAATTGTGTGAAATACGAAACTGCAAATATCTAGGCTCTAGACCTTCTCCCATCACGTGAGAGCAGGGACTTCCTAGGGATTTCTTCACTGTTCCAACTGCCAAAGGACTCTAAACTAGAATATTGCCTGGCTACACTGCTTAGGATTCTAGTCACACTGAACTTTTTCTTCCTAGATTTATAGTATCTCTGGGTAGAAAGTGACCTGATTGGGCTAAATTCCCTATCTAGAGACAATAGTTGAGAAATGAGAAGAACATGTTTCCC